TAAATTGAATTATATTGCTTGTTGACTGCTGACAATGATGACGACGACGATGATGATGATGATGGTGATGATGGTGATGATGATGGTGATGATGAAGAAGATTTTTCTTGCTGTTCTTTGCCTTCATCGTCTTTGATTCTGCTGTCTGTCCACGGAGAGTATTCTATCAAAATATTAACACCATCATCAACGTTCTCTTCATCACCAACATCATCGTCTTCATCATCATCCTCATTATTTTTATTACTACTATCATTACCATTGTGATCATCATCAACATCATTATCACCACCACCATCATCGTTCTCTTCATCACCAACATCATCGTCATCATTATTATTTTTATTACTACTATCATTACCATTTTGATCATCATCATCATCATCGTCATCATTATCACCATCATCATCATCAACAACGATTTTATATCAAAGCAGGGAAAAAGTATAAAAGGCCCTCAGATTACCTCCGGTTGTCCTAGAAATGACATTGCTTTCAAGTTCAAGGTCGTTGCCCTTCAGACTGAGTGACCTGACCTTAAAACTGTAGACCGTGCTTGGCTGGAGATTGAAGAGGTAGACGTTGTAGACTGTCTGGACGCTGTCTGGTATGTCTACGACGGTCCAATTGGTGGTCGGATGTCTGACGTATTTACTGTAGCTGGCGAGAGCGATGAACGACGATGTTGAAATCTGTTAAATTGCTTTCATTTTCACAACATCTGAAACGTCTGCTGCTACTACTACTACTGCTACTACTACTATTACTACCTCTGCTACTACTACTACCACTGCTATTACTATTACTACCACTGCTACTACTACTACTACTACTGCTACTACTACTACTGCTACTGCTGCAGTAACAACAACAACGACAGTCGCTACTAACGTTACTACATTTACTACTGATACTACTACTATTAGGTCACTAACAACAGAGTGTAAACAATTTTGACTCCATGGCCGTGATAAGCTGGACGCCATGTTACCACAACCGACGTTTTGTCGCAAAACGCTGTGACGCTTGTAGCCGGGTGCGTTTTGTTTTCTGGAGGGTAGAAGATTTTTTTCAAGGTAAATCATTTATTGATGTAGGTTGGTATGTGTGTTTATGTGTGTACGTGTGTGTGTGTGTGCGTG